CCCCCTTGTGCGACCCCCTCCTCCCCCTTGTGTGACCTCCTCCTCCTCCTTGTGCGACCTCCTCCCCCCCCTCATGGATCCTCTTCCCAACTCCTCATCCCCCTCGCGTGATCGCCTCCAACTTTAGAGGCCAAGCGAAATTTAGAAGTCTCGTGGGCCTAGGGGTACCAGTCCAGCAGTCTGAGTCCAGGGCCTGTAGGGGACGATATCAGACCTGCAATGATGTTTCCTTCTGAAAGGAGGAAGGTACTGAATGCTTGGAAGGCCGAGTGGCCTGGGAAGTCACCGCCCAAGAGGCAAGCTGTCTGCTGTGCCCACCTAGACTGGGTCTTGTAGGGTTGACATATGACCCGGCTAGGTTGTTGGAGAACATGTATGGGGTGGCGAGACACTAGGAGTGACTTCTTGGAGTGATTAAGGGAGAGAGTGAGAGGCACTCACACCTGGAATCTAACTTGAGGACATTGAGCGACTTTTGGGTTCCCTTCAAGAGGTGAGCTTGGGGGAGGTAGCCATGGCTGCACTGAATGACTGCAAGTTGCTGCTTGGTCTTTAACATCGATCAGGGATCCGGCGTTGTACATTGGTGTGGAGTAGGCCCTCCTAGGCTGTCTAGATACTAGTGTAGCGGTTGCTAGTTGGGTCAAGAGGACATATGAGAAAGGGGGGTGAGTTATACATGTTGGAGTCTGGCCCCTACAGGTAAGTGTCGTGTAACTAAGGGGTGCCCATGGTGGTGTGCATGGTGCTGCATAGCCTGATGGGGTATGTTAGGTCTCTTTTATGATCTTGGCTGTTGTGCATGAGCTTGTGGACTGCTCTCTTATCTGATGGATGGATGGATGGATGGATGGATGGATGGATGGATGGAAGTATTTTGCATAGTCTTGTACACTTTCTATAGAGCTTTTGTATTTTCATTCTGAATGGTAGCTGAGTAGGTACCATCTGTATTTGATCTTTTCTTTTAGGACTGCAGCGATAGATTTGGGACCTCGGTGGGAGTCTTTTCGGTTGGACTGGGTCACTAACCTACCTGGGTCCTGGGACCTGTCGGTACCCAGTGGGACCTTGTCCAATGGTCCAGGAGTAGAGCTCCCTAGATACCAGATCTGAAGGCATTGCAAGCACTCATCTGTCCTACTGGAGGATGGGGGCATGCTAAGGGTGGGACACTCACTTTCAAGGGGTCCTTGACTGCCTTTTCTGCAAGTTCTGACACAGTCCGTAGCCTGACTCAGTTAGTTGTTCCTTGGATCATTGCTAAATCAGACCTCTTTTGTTGAATTTTTATTTTTTTTAATGCAGTTTATTTGTCACTTCTCCAGTCCAAATGAATTGCTGGTCCGGTTAGGAGTTCTATCCTCTCTTCTTTGTGCTTATATGTTTCTTCATCTGAATTATTCTGATGTTCGTTGAGACTCCATCGGAAAAGAAAGAGGGAGAGAGAAGAGATAAGTTGTTGAGTGCTTCCCTTGAGGGACTGAGGAAAGGGAAGAGGAGTGGTCGACGAAAAGCAAGGAAGTACGGACCCCTCTCTTGAGGAAGTATGCAACAGAATGGGAAGTCCAACTGGACGCTGCCCCTGATCCGGACAAACCGCAATATCAATTGTTTTATGAGAGGGTGTTGCAGAAGGAGAAGGAGAAGAGAAGGAGAAATGATCTGACTGCCCAAGAGGCCATCTTTAGGACTGTCTCTGCACTGTGTGATGATCAGGTTGAAGAAAAGGCTGCTCCACTACTTAGGGCCCTAGTGTAAGTCCGGTCTCTTGAAGACCATTAGGACCAGATCTCGCTGCTGTTTCACGAAGTCAAAACGTCGCAGAAAGACATGGCAAAAATGGCACAAGAACACTGTGACCAGCTGCAGAAGTTTGCAGATCTGCAGTAAGGCCAAGTTTCTAACCTTCCCTTTACCTCCTGCCCCCAATGCTGCAAGTCACACCGTTCCTGACCCTCTCACCATCTCTTTTGCATCTTCAAGTGTGGTGATCAGCCAAGTGGGAACTGCAGTAGCTGCAGATTTTAGCCTTGCTATAGCAAGCAGCAGTGCCGGAAATTATCCAATTGCTACAACTGCGAGGAATGAGCAGCGCAGAGCCCTTATCAGACATACAAGTGTTCTGGGCTGTGGCCCTGTGGCATACTGCGTAGCCACACGGGTCCTGCAGGGCCCGTCCCCCACTTTCAGCCTAAAAGCCTAAAACTTAGGGCTTACAGGCCCCGGTTGTTTCAGCCTGAAAGCTGAAAAACGAGGGCCTGCAGGCCCTACTCCGTTTTCAGCCTATTTCTGGGCCTTTCAGGCCCAGAGGCGTTTCAGCCTGAAACGGAGGGCCATTTTCAGGCCCTCATTGTGTTCGACCTACCTAAGACTCAGGCACAGAAACAGGGTTTCGGGAACAGGCCAGAAATAGCCTGTTCCCCACGCCAGCTCGAGCAGGAGCTGCAGCTGCAGCCCCTGCCTCCCTTCGGCATTGGCAAGAGCAGCCTCCTGGACTGCTCGCCTGCAGTCAGGAGGCACACCCGGCAGTACATAAGATTGTCCCATGCACTTCACGGGGAGGTAGTTGTCAGTAGGCACGAGTAGTCTTCAGGATTCGGCCGCAGCACTGAGGAGGAGCGCTGCAGTAGTCTTCAGCGCTAGGCAGTAGTATTAGCGCTAGAAGTAGTCTTCGGCGCTGGGCGCCCATAGCCATAGAGTAGTCTTCAGCGCTGGGCGCTGGTCGGTGGTAGATCGTAGAGTTGGGAGAGATACTGGCGGAGGCCAGTGGTACTTACCTGTGGCGCCATCGCTCCAGCTCCATCTTCGAGGTACCTGCATCAAGGC